CTGGACAGTCGTTTTGTCCTACTATGGTACTCCTCAACAATGCGCATTCACCAAACTGCACTCGCGAGATTCGAACCCAGGACCTACTAGTCTCGAGCCAGAGCTCTTAACCGATAGACCACTGAGCCGGCATCCCATGGTGTTTATGTCTAACTCCAACCAATCCACGAAGTTGAGCAACCATTCACCAATTGTCTTCAGTGAGTTGATATCTCTATAACAGACGTGGTTTGAACTCCACTGGTCACTGCTTCTCACTAGAACTCCTTGATGTACTTCTCGAAATCAGTCACTAGTGAGCATATGATTATATTAATTATCAAGAAGGGCCGGCTCGGTGGTCTATTGGTTAAGCACTCTGGCTCGAGACTGGTAGGTCCTGGGTTAGAGTCTCACAAGTGCGGGATCCTGGATGCGCACTGCTGAGGATACCCATAGCAGGACGAAACGGTCGTCCAATGCTATCGATTCAGAAAATATAATTCTGTTTAGCTCGTTAACTGTTTCATTTTTGAAAATGTTACAAGTCAGATGTAATGTTACCACACCCACACTTACACACACATAGAGAAAGATATTATATTAGTTACGTATGTGTGCGTGTGTGTGCATGTATATATTCAGTGATTATGTAATTATTTCAATATAATTTGATAAATATTTGTTTTAATTTATTTATATTTAAACTGGTCATCACTTTTATTTTGCTATGATAACTAGATAGAAGGAGAAATAGATGAGAAATGGAATGGTAGACAATTTTTTTTCATTCATTCACTCATTCATTCATTCATTAGAATAGACAACATAGTTCATTATGTTCACTTAATGTTGTATACTTGTATCTCCCATTGTTAACAACTATACCATGCTTGTGAATTCAGGCAATATCGTGGTAGTCCGCTCAGGATCTGCATATGCCAACAAGAGATTGATCAATTATGGTCCTAAACATCAATGAGAAGATACAAGTATACAATACCGAATGAATATAATTTCACCTTATTTGCACAAGCATGTGGCTATTAGAACTCAGTAACTAAATGGATAACGTGATAATGTTTGAAGCGAACAACACTGAGTTCAAGTTCTATAGTGGATATCAACTATGAGATCCAAGTACATCCAACTGACGAGACCCAAATAAGACAAAACACACATCCTAAATTCCACTTCTAACCATTATCTATCTTTGCTTATTCTACATTTTTTTAAAAATTAATTTCCTGTTTAATTATACTGATTATGATCATATATTAGATTCTATTGAATGACTATTGAATATTGAATCAATGTTTACTTTATTCTTTTTTTTTTCAAATAGAAAAGAATACAACATCTCAATAAACTGATCTAATATAAGTAAATTAAACAAACAAAATCATTTTAATTCTAATAATTGAAATAAATATTTACATAGAACCCTTAATGTTTACACATACTAGGTCAAACTGTTCTCTCTCTATCTCTCTCTGTGTCTCTGTCTCTAACGCTCTCTCTCTCTCTCTCTGTCTCCCCCCCTCTCTCTCTCTCTGTGTCACCCTCTCTATCTCTCTCTGTCAGTATCGCTCACTCTCTCGCTGTCTTATAAGTATAATTACTGAGCTATCATAGATTAAAATATTCAATCTTATATCTTAGTGATTATTAGATTATGGTATCACGTATAACTATGACCAAGGTTGACTATCATTATTATTATTATTATTATTATTAATACAATGAGTCATAATATGATGCAGGTAATATTGAATTTAATTAATAAATTCATACTATCAAATGTTCAACAACAAAAAAAAACAAGTATTAAAGAATAAATATTTATCAATTTTGGGGGTTATGAAGATTTTCATAATTGAAATCTAAATCACCAGGGAAAACCTGGAAGCACTGAAAGGTCATTTCGTCAGTGGCAGTGTGAATCTACAACTATGAAAATATTAAATCTCCACAAAAACCCTTTCTGATAATCATAATAATAATATGCTCACTAGTGACTGATTTCGAAAGACAAATCCAGGAGTTCTAATGAGAAACAGTGACTAATGGAGTTCAAACCACATCTGTTGTGAGATAGGAACTCACTGAAGACAATGGTTATGAAAATTGTTAATTTTTTGATTGAGATCATGAATTGATGAATGTTAGACTACTATTAAAAACATGGTAACACTAGACAATCATTTCGTTCTAGTATGGGACTCCTCAATAGTAAGCATTTATAATCCTACATATATGATACGAACCTGGGACCTCTAGACCATTGAACTGGTATTCAGTAGTATTAATGAACCATAATCATATACAACCATTCATCTATCATCTAAGGTAGATACCTGTTTCCACCTGATATAGACTAACATTACTGATTACAACTTCTCATTAGAAGTCTAAGAATTATCTCACGAAGCTATTGACTAATGATCATATGCTGAAGGGTCTCATACGAGAACGAAATGACTATCCAATGATAATCTAACTGAAGAATATTTTTTCTTAAATTAAAAAAAATTAAAAAAAATTTATTGATTACAAAATTGAAATTAAGGTATCTTAGTAAATTAATTAGGTTGTAAAAAGAAAGAGAGAATTAGCTATAGCTGATCTATTCATTACTGAATGGTAACTAGATCTAATCTCAATCGGTTACAAGAACTATTTTCCTTTCAAATAAGTGATTACCTACGAGAGAATAACTGAAGGTAGTTCTTCTTTGTTTTTGTTTTCTTAAATGGAGTTTTGTTCTTTCAGCTGGATGGTTTAATCATGAAGCTTTTATTGTTCTTCTGAATGACATCAACAGTATAAACTTTGAGTAAGAATGAAGTGTTAACAATTATGTTATTAAGTATTTATAACTGAAGAAAATCTGGGAATCGAAGCAACTGTTAACCAATATCAAAGTCAGAATTTTCAATATAAATGTCATGACAGTTCTACTATGTGAGATGGAAACCTAGAAAACTACGAAAGCTATCATCTAGAAGATACAAGTGTTTAATAACAGTTGTCTACTCAAAACACTTAGGATCCGTTGGCCATTCACTAACAGGAACAATCTACTGTGGAAGAAAACAAACCAGATTCTAGTGGAGGAAGAAATTGGGAAGAAGCGCTTGAAGTGGATAGGACACATATTGAGAAAATCATCCAACTGTATCACAAGACAGGCCAAAGGAGAAGAGGAAGAACAATGAACACACACCGACAAATGGAGACAGACATGAGAAGAATGAACAAAACTTGAATAGAACTAGAAAGGAAAGTTCAAAACAGAGTGGGTTGTAGAATGCTGGCCATATCTCGTTAGCACAACAAGATGAACATTGGATTCATAGAAGTAGTTAATTAAGTGGTGGAAATATATAAAAGGAAGGCTGTATATAAGGATATAGTACAGGAAGAAAGTTATGAAGCAATTTTAATCTTAAGATTTAAGGGAAGATAAAGAGTGTATATACGTGCACCATTGTAATCGATTCTGAGTCATGTCACCTAGAGTCTCCAACCATTGGTTACGATGAACACGCGGACCTCAACCAAGTAGTCTGCATCTGCCAACATGGCTTACACTAGAAGTTAGTGACTTCAAGCACTGATGCCATGTTTTGGTTTGGCCACACCTAATTATATAGATTACAAAAGTAATGTAAGTAATCTTCTTCATAGACTACCATCAATTAGAGAGCTAATAAACATTAAATACAATAATTTCGTTTGTTATCCAATTGTTGGAAAGAAATCAAGCCAAAACTAAATGGGAGTGACTTTAAATAAACACATTAGATTCCCCAAGATTATACGTAGACATCTTGCTGACAAGGATCACTCAACAAAATTTCCTGATAACTATATCTAACCATCTAACATCTCTGAAAGAGTAAACTTCAACGCATATTATAATACAAATTACCTCTATGGAATGTTACAATAATATATATATATATATATATATATATATATATATATATATATATATATATATATATATATATATATATATATATATATATATGGAATATTAACTAATCATTTGGCCCTTAAATGTCTTGCTATGGCCGAGAGTGGGTAGAGTCCGCTCTCCATCTCGAAATGCTCCCACATTGCCACGCGTATATAACCTCTCTCAGGGAAGACCTACTCACTGCCTTCTCACACCACGGGTGTTGTTTACGAAATTGAGAGGACGAAAAGCGAACGTCCGACTCTTTAACCAGGTTGGTGGACACGGAGAGTCTACCTAGGGGAGTTGTGAAACCCTGATTCCAAACCAATGGTTCACATGGACTCCAGGATCCTGAGGGAACAAGCGGCGTATGAATCGATCGTTGGTCACCGGCTATCATGGAACTGCATCTCCTCACGATGCTCCACTGCCTTGTGGATCAGATCTTTAGGTCAAAGGCTCGGGGTGTGGCCCCTTAAGAAAACCACCTGCTTTAGTCTGGGCACCCGAACAGTATCACAGATCTCTCACAAATCGAATGAGATTTGTGTGGTGAATATATATCTGGTACTTTTTTGTATCAATATTTATGTGTTTCAATAAATAAATAAATAATTGATATTTTAATTAGCCAATTCAATTTTAACTTCTTCAAAAGATGGAATCCCCCAAAAAAAAGGTATAACAAATATGGTATAGTCTTAAATGAACAGATGGAATTCATTCTGAAATATTTACTGCTGACGTATAAACACTTTGTGTGGAAAAAAAAATGTCACAATTAAAGTTGTGAATTGTAGAGTTTTGTTTCATTCAAAGATGATTTTGATTTCAATAGAAATAATCAAGATTTTTAACAATAACTTGACTTTATATAATCCTTCACTTATAAGTAAAGTTATTTATGTAACCATTAATTTTCATACCAAATAAATATAGGGGGGGGGCAGAAGAAGTAATATATAAAAAAGATACCCAATTGGATGGGTTACATAATACTGTAAAATACATGAGTTATATATATCATTATAATAATAATACATAAACAACTAACCATTTAAAGTAATTTTTTGCCCTGGTGCATATTTTATTGCCATAGCAATTAATGCAATATATGAATATGGTGGTTTCGATAGAAATAAACATGAATTATGATTATTATGATTATTATTATTATTATTAACTGGTAAAATTCTTATCAAATGATTTATATTTTCTTCTTTCATTGATTGTGATTCTATATTTAATATTGTAGTCTGATGAGTATGTTCATGATTCGTTATATGATCAACATTCTTATTATTATCATTATTACTATCATTATAGTTATATTCATAATTGTTCAAAGCATAACCATTAGATATATCATTTATCATAGATGAATGAGATAAATATTGTGAAGGATATAATGTTTGTTTTATTAATGGATTAGATAATAATAATAATAATAAATTATCATTCATATAAGTTGTTGGTATAGTTGAATTAGATAAAGCTTTCATAATCATTAATTTATATTGTTCATTAAATAAATTCCAATGAGTTAAAATAAATTGAATTAAATCTTTATTTAGTTTAGAAAAATTTTGTTTTAATAAATGATTCATAAGATTATGTAATAATTGTAATGATAATTCATTTGATGTAAATAAATGATTAAAATTATCTTTAATAGAATGATCATCAATATAATCTTCTTTATTCATAGTTACTAACTAATTAAGAGTAATAGTAATATTAGTATTTAACTTATTATATTCTCTTCTAGTTGTGATCGGATATATCCTTCATTAAACGATATAATAAAAAAAAAAATCGTTAATATATCTTTTTAATTTTTTTTAGTTTAAATATGATATACCGCGCAAAATTTCTTGATTTTTTTAATTGACCAATCAGATTATAGTAATATTATACAACAATTGACCAATCAGATTACAGTAAAATTTTACGATAATTGACCAATAGGATTTTTATAGGTATTATTAAAAAAAAAAAAATCTAACCAATCAGAATGATGATATATGTTAAAATAGATAATAATGATAACAAAGAAAGATTAAGGGAATCTTGTTCAGATTGTAGTCATTTTTAATAGTTGAACAACCATGGAAAACCTAGAACCATTAGATGACTGTTTCATTCTAGTATGGAGCTGATGAGTAATGTACAGCTATGATTGTGCAGGCGTGATTCGAACACAAGATGTTTGGTTTCGTGTACTAATGCTTAACTTCTAGATATGAGCTGTTAAGGAGTTTCATACTAAGACGAAATGGCTGTTCAGTGCTTTACAGGTTTTTCATAGTTAGCTAGCTTTAATCGACTAATGAATTCAACTTTTAGATTAAAAAAATAGAGAGCTATTTTTCTGGTTTGTGTGAAAATGTATTATGATTGATGAACTATGATAACTATCTTGTTTGAAAACTTGTCACATACATGTACATGTAGACAATAAATTATTCATTATATGACAATGGGTAGGATATTTAAGTTTATGTTCAACAGAAAAATTGTATCTATTTTAAAGAAAATCTGTGACAAATTTTTTGTTTGACAAAAACTTTGTGGTTTGAAAGATTTTACCACCTAATTCATTAAGTAATATAAATCAGTAACATAAACAAATATAGAGGAATTTTAATTGAGATAGTGAACCGGTCAATGTTAGACCATTATTGAAAACTTGGATTTGAACCTCACGTGCGGAATCGTGGATGTATAATCCCGAGGAGTCTCCTACTAGGAAGAAACGGCCGTCTAATGGTTCTAGGTTTTCACTTGTTATCTAACATTTATCGGTTCATGATCTTCATTAAAATTCAGTAATCTCCACAATCCTATACTAATATAAAATAATTATTCAAAGGATGAACTAGACGGCTGAAACATAAATGAATTGAATTTTTGTTTAATCTAACCTTGATGTCATTTTGGGATCCATCATGAAGGAATACTCGTACCCTTAACTGAATTGATGTTATCTATGAAAATAAAACACGCATCGTTCAGAATCTAAGTCAGAAATGTTATCACTGAGTTATTTGAGCCATTGATTTCTATTGTACAAAATGTCTAAAGCACAAGTCATAGGTTGAAAACAAATTGTCAAGAGTATCCCTATCTAGTAAGCCATAAACGTGAAAATAATTTATAGATAAAAAAAAATAACAGAGACAATTACATTTGACTACAAAAGGTCATAAGTACAATAGTCAAATTAGGTGGTTCGATAGTTAAGATTACTATTGATTAATTAGCATTGAGGTTGATCAGAGGAGGAGAAATGGTTGAAAATATTTCATTTGTACGCATAGCTCCGGTTTCTTAATCCATACAGCACGCGAATTCAAAACAGTGCCACTCGATAGGAACGTGGTTTAGAAATTGATAATCGTAGTTTGAACTACTAACTATTTGTAAGTAGTTCAGTATATCACAAAAAGATTCGAGAATTCTACAGTAACATTGATAAGTATAGAGATAAATATTATTATTTAAGTTTTTCAATCCAATGACTTACTTATTTCTTCCATTGGATGTCTAAATCATACAGCTAAAATGAAATGAATATCTAAGTGAATAACCATAGCTTATTATTGCCACCTACAGGTTGTTTACAACCAGCTATGATTTTATCAAGTCAGTGTATCAATACATTAATTTAACCAAGAAGAAAAAAAATTCTATTTTCGACTGTATTTATGTCGTTCATCCACTGGATTTGTTCAGTTAAACGACTATCTCTATGAAGGTCTAAGATCAGTGTATTGTATGTTTGCGGATAAAAAACTAGTGGGGTCATGAGAAGTGAAATCATTGAACATGAGTCATCTGGTCGACACAGATTCAATGCTGAAAGTCAATTTACAAGGTAAATAGGAACATACAGAAGTTAGTGAATTTTTATCTTGTTTGTGTCATTAAAGCTGTCATTGTGCACTTGGAAAAGCTGGAATCATACTGATGTGAACCGCGAAACAAGAAGCCTTAACAAATTACCGAAGCTATTTTTAGGGACGTTAATCCATTTAATTCAAAGCTTGTAAAACTGTAACATTTACTTTTGCCCCTAGCCTATTCTACAGATCATAAGCTTTCTTTTGATGCATAATTCACTACCATAGCATTTTCCGTTCTAAAGCTATTGTAATTTAAACGTAACCTTTTGTACTGTATTTCCAGCTACCGTCAATAATACTAGGTCGCCTAACCAAAGCTCGTGAAGAGCAGACTAGAGAAAACCAGGCTGGTTTTCGACCTGGACGTGGTTGCATAGACCAGATATTCACCCTACGTCAGGTCCTAGAACGTAGACACAAATTCAAACGTCCCACAATAGTAGTATTTCTTGACCTTAAGGCGGCATTTGACTCCGTGGATCGTGAGGTTCTATGGCAATGTTTGTCACTGAAAGGAGTACCAAAGAAGTACATTATCCTCATAAAGGCTCTCTACTCGAACACAACTGGTCGAGTTAGAGCCTATGGCGAACTGTCATCAGAACTGATTACCTCAAGTGGCGTTCGTCAGGGCTGTCCACTGTCCCCATTCTTGTTTAACTTGTCATTGACATACTTTTAGAGATAGCACTTTCATCAGCTAAACCTCCAGAAGTTGAACTTTTACCGGGAGGCTCACTTGTTGACTTAGAATATGCCAACGACATAGTTTTACTCGGTGAAGACGCTGGCAACATGCAGAGTCTTCTGACCACTATAAGCAACTATGCAGGCATGTTCGGAATGCGATTCTCTCCCTCGAAGTGCAAAATGTTACTTCAGGATTGGGTTGCATCGACACCTGAACTAATGATAGGGAGTGAAGTAGTTGAGCGTGTAGACCACTTCACTTATCTTGGGAGTCTCATCAGCCCTTGTGGTCTGGTATGTGACGAAATCTCAGCACGGATACAGAAGGCTCGTCTAGCTTTCGCCAACTTGCGTCATTTATGGCGTAGGCGAGATATCCGTCTAGCAACCAAAGGACGGGTTTACTGCACAGCAGTTTGTTCCGTCCTACTTTATAGCAGTGAAACATGACCAATAAGAGTAGAGGATATTCGTAGGCTACTAGTGTTCGATCATAGGTGTCTTCGAAGCATTGCTCATATATCCTGGGACCACCGGGTAAGTAATGGAGTTGTTAGGAAACGAGTACTAGGTAGGGATGGCAAATCGATTGATGAAGTAGTGAAACCTCATCAGTTGAGATGGCTGGGACATGTGTTACGTATGCCCGACCACCGACTGCCCCGACGTGCAATGTTTCATGGTGTAGGAGTAGGTTGGAAGAAAGCTAGGGGTGGCCAGACCAAAACGTGGCACAAATCAATGAAGTCACTGACAAGTGGACTGGGCCATGTTGGTAGGTGCAGACTACTTGGTTGAGATTCGCGAGATGACAGCAAACGATGGTTAGAGACCTTGAATGACATGGCTCAAAATCGTTTGCAATGGCGAAGATGCATCCACTCTTTATGTTCTACCAAATTCTAATCTTCTGAATTCCTCATGTCTTTATCTTTTTCTCTTTCCAAATTTATTTCACTGTACTATACTTCTTCAATAATTTCTTCAAACCCTAATCTTTTGGATTTCTGATTGTACTTCTACCACTATGGGATTTGAATCGACAACTGCAACTCGAACTGATGCACGTACGTACGAAGTTCTTCGTTGTGACTGACTGACCTACTACCGTCCCATAGTTTTGAACACAATTGTATTTTCCTTATTATTGTACGTTGTGGTCAGGTTATTTATCTACTTATTCATGTAACTTTTCACCCTAATCTGAATTGGGAATTCAAGTGCTAGATCGGGGTTGGAATAAAGTGATTAGTGTTCCAGCTGTCTTTGTCTTCTCTCTCTCGTGCTTGCCAGCCAATAAGGGATAGAATAGTTTTCGTCTCTCTATCCCCACTTCGAACTCACGCATATTAGCCTCAAGGTTAAGCCAGTCAGCCTATCGTGTCAAGGTCTTAATCTGCATTATACTCGGCACTAAGTTGGTAGACAGATTGAAGGACGTAACACATACATAAAAGAGCAATTTATTAACTTTGAAGCTACACTTTTTGGACAAATCTCAATTAATATTAAAATTAGGTCGTGGGCTTCCTCCTGACTACTTTCAACTAACTATGACACAAATGAGTAATCAGGAAAAATAAACACATATAAGCGATCAATAATGTATGTTACATTCATGGGCAATTTCTGATTGGTTTAATGTGTCATGGTTAGTTGGTTTGCTTAGGGGGCCACGCTCGGAACCTTTGACATAAAGATCTGACCCAAAAGGCAGTGTAGCAACATCCGGAGATGCAGTTCCGTGGTAGCCGGTGACCAACGATTGGTTTATATGCCACTTGTTCTGTCAGAATACTGGAAACCATATGCACCTTTGGTTTGGAATTAGGGTTTTCCGACTCCCCTAGGTAGAATCTCCGTGTCCACCAACCCGGTTAAAGCGCCGGACATTCGCTTTTCGTACACTCGATTTTGTAAACAACACCCCCATTTAAAGATGGCAGTGGCTGCGTACGCGAGGCCATGTGAGAGCATTTCGAGAGGGAGAGCTAATTCTACGCACTATCGGTCGTACCAGGGTATTTGTTAATAACAATTTTCCTAATTGTTACAAGTGGTAATAAAATTTAGCTCTTAAGAATCTATCGACCTGTATTGTTGATAAGTAG